AGTATGGGTCAATTTCTGTATGAGATAAAAACCGAACAAATTGTGTTCAAATGTATGTATCTACCTCTATATATATTTGGATATATATTTATAAACTTATATGTGAGGGCGACTGGGAAACGCTTCTTTTTATATGGATTTATTTAAAACTTTTTCTTTTTATATATAGCCGCACACCAATGTGTATTTAATTCGATTGGCTGCTTGTATATATGTACATATGTACGTATACGCTAGAATATATGAGTACGTAAATACATATGTATGTATGTCGCAAGCGTTTTTGTTCGCTACTGAAAAATAGCGGCACTTAGCTGAGTGGTACAGGAATAGAGTAGATATGTAGGTATTATGTGAAATTTCACAATTGCTGAAATGTAGTTACATACATATGTTGCGCGCGAATTTTGCAGCTTCGGATTTTTGGCGATTTTATTAATACGACGTTTCCACGCTTCGTAATTCCCTCTCTCATTCGTAATTCGACATCCAATTACCCTTCGAATTACGTAATTCGCTATACAAAATTTTGAGAGCGAATTACCTCATTTGTAGGTAATTCAGATCGAATTACCATGCGAATGACGAACTAATCGGTCCCTTCTCTAATATTTATCGGAAATATATCAAAGTTTTCACGACCTGGCTCCATTTGCCTGCACTTTTTCTAGCTGCAGGAAAATTAATTAATAAAATATTCTCTATATAAATAAAAAAATTTTAGAATAACTTAAATGTTTGCTTCATCTTCGATTTTTGCAGTACACAAAAATAATAATAAATAGCGAAGAACAAGAACAAGAAGTAGAGCTGCCAAACTAATTACGAATATGTGTCGTAAATAACCAATTACTTACCGAATTACTTAGAGAGCGAATAACGAAGCGTGAAAACATCGTATAAAGGTATGAGCAAATGCGTGCGTACATATGTACATGTACAGTATGCGCCAAAGGGGACTGTGTGTATATGCGGATGTGTTTCGCGCTAGTTCTTCGTTTACCAGTAGATTTAGGAGTTGGAGAAGGCAAGTGAATATATATGTGCACACAGGCGTGCAAATACTTATGTGGTAGAGTATAGCGTACGTGAAAAAATGGAAAATGCCCGTTTGGAAATTCGGGACTTATGTACATTAAAATATGGCGGGCAATGGATACGAGTTTATATATACATTTGCATATAAAATGTACTACGTATGTATATTTTTATAGCGGTTTTTTGGATAAGGGAAATGATAAAATGCGCGGGGGTTGCGAGTATATGTACATACATATATTTCGGTATATATGTATGTCTTTATCGAGAATGTTATTTTACTTTAATTCACCGTACGGGAAAACCGCTATAAAATCTACATACGTATATGTATGTGCATGACAGTAAAGGCTCTGTTATGCATACTTGGCATTGCTTGAGAGTTGTCACATAAGGAATCTGTTAAATGAGCTTCGCGTGTAAGCTGTTACCCAACGCACAGCATTACATACGTAAAAGTCTGTAGGTTTTTGATTTCTACGTAAAAATGGTATAGCAGTGCATGCAATGCCAAGTATGCATAACAGAGCCTTAACTATGTGCGTACTTATGAGATTTGTGGGTACCACCTGTTACTTTTTTGCCGTACTGTACCGCTACCGTCTCCTGGGCCTGTCTCCGGTGTTATTGATGTTGTGGTGCTCTTGTGGTTGCTGTGCTGCGCCGCTTGTTTCCCGTTGGTGTTACCGCTTTTGCTCGTTGATGCTGCTGTCGTAACTCCAGGCGCCCAACGAGAAATTATTCAATCAAAGATGAAAAATTAAAAAAATTATATTTTATTTAATTTTTTTCCAAGATTCGAGATTTTTACTCTTTGTTTTTCACTGCACGCTATTGGTTTTTTATGTACTACGCCTTTTTTTTCTGCACGATTACTTTTTGTTTTGCTCCACTATGGCTTTTTTGGTTTTTTTTGTTTGGCTTTTTTGCAGGTATTGCTGCTAGCGTTTTATTTTAATATGATGGCGCACGTTTAACGCCCAGCACTGTACTTTTTTTTAGTATAAACTTAACTTTTTCTTTTAAATTTTTCTTCCACGTACTGCTGCTAACGCTTTATTTTAAATGATGGCGCACGTTTAACGCCCAGCACTGTACTTTTTTTTATAAACTTAACTTTTTCTTTTTAATTTTATTTTAGCGCGCCCTTTTTTCGTTTTTGTTTCACTGCACTTGTACCGTTGATATTTATTTTCACTATTGTGTTCTCAGCGTATTTTTTTTTAATTTTTAATAATACATTTTGTCTGGTTTAAGTTTTATCAACTCTTTTTTGCGTTTCTTTACTTTTTTATTTCCCTCGACACTTCGACCCAGCGTTGCCAGGTTGACGTTTTTAACGTCATTTGGGCGACTTTTGTATTCTGTTGACGTTTGGACGTCTTCTGGGTAAAAAATGACGTTTCCTAACTTCACAGTAATTTTTCTCTGTTATGAAATCTTGTCAGTAGAACTGATTTTGAATCATTTTCCTAATAAAC